CTCTTTAACTGAGCGCGACGCTTTTCCTTTGCCCTATATCAATACCATCTTAGACCAATTACGTGACGCTAAATATCTTAGTTCCCTGGACATTAAGTCAGCTTATTGGCAAATAGAGGTTGCTGAGAATTCGCGCCCTTTCACAGCTTTTACTGTGCCTGGTCGTGGTCTTTTCCAATTTCGAAGGATGCCCTTCGGCTTGACTAATGCCCCTGCGACTTTTCAGCGCATTATCGATACCATTTTGGGACCTGAATTGCAACCCAACGTTTTGGTTTATTTGGACGATGTGGTTATTATATCACAAGACTTTGACTCACATTTAAAAATTTTGAACACCGTTTTTGACAAATTAATTGCTGCTGGCTTCACTCTGAATAAAAACAAATGTCACTTCTGCCGTTCAGAACTTAAGTATTTAGGGTATGTTGTGGATTCCTTTGGCTTACACCCAGATCCTGACAAAGTCAAGGCGATTTTAGATATTCCAACACCCACTACGGTGAATGATATACGACGTTTCTTAGGAACTTGCGGTTGGTACCGTAGGTTCATTCCTGATTTTTCAACCGTTCTTGCTCCTTTAACCAGACTTCTTCGGAAAAATGTTAAATTTGAATGGACGTCTGAATGTGAGGAATCTTTTCTCAAATTAAAAGAACTTTTGGCAACTGCACCTGTGCTCAATTGCCCGGATTTTACCAAACCTTTTGTCCTTCAGACCGATGCTTCTGCTTATGGGCTAGGAGCTGTCTTGACTCAAACTTTTCCGGATGGGGAGCGAGTGGTATGTTATTTATCCCGATCATTATCCCGAGCGGAACAAAATTACAGCACGACTGAACGTGAGTGCTTAGCAGTCATTTGGGCGGTAGAGCAACTTCGACATTACCTCGAAGGAGTTTCTTTTACAGTCATTACTGACCACCATTCTCTTTTGTGGTTGCATTCTTTGAAAGACCCCCAAGGACGTTTAGCACGCTGGGCTCTTCGTTTACAGCCGTATACCTTTACTCTTGTCCATCGTAAAGGCAAGGACAATATTGTTCCCGATCTTTTGTCACGTACTGTACCTGTGATCGAAGCTGTACATTCTTCAGATGTTACGGTGGATCCGAACGATTTCAAAACTTCTAAAGACCCTTGGTACCTTGGTATGTTTGAAAGATTAGAGCGAAGTCCTCATAAATATCCCGATTGGCGAGTGAAAGATTCGTTGTTGTATAAATATATCAAGTCCGCTTTACAATCTCATGATTATGAAAAATGGAAACTTGTTGTTCCTTCTGATTTTAGACAATCTCTTATACAAGAGAACCACAATAATGTTACTTCAGGACACCTTGGTGTTTATAAGACCTTTTGGCGCATTCATCACCGATATTATTGGCCGAGAATGAAGTGCGATATTAAGCGTTATATTTCTCGCTGTACCACCTGTGCACAACATAAACCTGAACAACTTCGACCTGCAGGGCTTATGGGTTCACATCCTCAAATTTATGAACCGTGGCAGATGATCAGCTTAGATTTTATTGGTCCTTTACCTCGATCCACTCAAGGGCGAACTCATTTATTAGTTGTTAGTGACTATATGAGTAAATTTGTACTTCTTTTTCCCATAAGGACGGCGAATGCCAAAACTCTTGTCAAATGTATTGAAGATTCTGTATTTCTTGTGTATGGAGCTCCACAATTCCTTATTTGTGACAATGGCGTGCAGATGCGCAGTAGACTTTTCTTAGATCTGTGTGAAAGCTACCGTGTAAAGGTTCGGTTTACTCCTTTTTATCATCCACAGGCTGATCCTGCGGAGAGGGTGAATCGTGTGGTAAAGCAATTGATAGCCACTTACGTTAAGAACAATCACAAACATTGGGACGTTCATTTAGCTTCGATAGCTTGTGCTCTTCGAACTTCTAAGCACGAAACCATAGGTGTGACTCCCTATCGTGCTAATTTTGGGAAAGAATTTCGTATTCGAGGGGACAGCTTCGACACTGACATGACGGACAATGAGCCGATTGACGTAGAACAACGGTTAGCGCAACAGCAAGGACTGTACGACAAAATTATTGCACGCATTAAAGACAGTCATGACCGCAACAAACAACATTATGACTTACGACGTAGGCATGTTAACTATGAGATAGGAGATTTGGTTTGGCGTAAAAATAAGACTTTGTCTGATGCCACTAAAGATTATTCAGCGAAGTTAGCCCCCAGATTTTTAGGACCATTTACGGTTAGCCGTAAAATGGGGTATTTGACCTATGAGTTGAAAGATTCTAATGGTAAATCTTCTGGAACGTGGCACGTCCAGGATCTCAAACCTTATATTGAACCCGATGATCATGGTTAGACATTTATTGTCGCCGGATTGCTTGTTTGTTGACGATTTTGAACCACTAATTTTGACGTATTCTTATTCTTGGATTTGACTTTGATATATGTATTTATATGTTATATGTTCCATATTTCTTCTTCTTCTTACTTTTGGGTGGTTTGGTTGGGCACAGGGGATGGACTCTCGGATCGTAGCAACAACACCTGCTAGGGGATTCGTCCCGATCCATTATCCTCCTTCTTTCTTTTTCTATCTGCACCTCAAACACTTTTCTTCTTCTAATTTCCTCAGGGGAAATTTGGGAGAGGTTGCCCTTTTCTTTTCGCTTTCCTATATTCTATCTTTTTCTACTCTTCTTTCTTCCATTTCCGTTCCATAGAATGAATGAATGTTTGAATGGATGGGTAGTTGACACACAAGAGGAAGGGGGTGGGTGCGCCTTCCCTGTGCGAGCCTCGGTGACCATGGGACCCCTGGAATCGGCATGAATGAGTTTTTTTCTCCGCAAATGTGATTTCTTCTTTCTCTCTTACTGTCTTCTATCCATAGCACCTTCTTCATTTCATTGCGCTAGTGCATGGTGGAGTTGGGTTGGAAAGGTACCTTCTTTTTGGGGGTTTCCTTCTACACTTTTTCGGCAAGGGGGTCAAAATTTGGGCTTTTGTGTCGTTTTTAGTCAGGGAGGGGGGTTTCTTTATTTTGGGGATTTTGGTGCTGCATCACTTGAAACTGTAGGGTTTCTTTCTTCTGGGTGGGCACTGGATTTGGTTTTCTTGGGGGTGACTAGTAGTTGGATTGGGTTGTGGGAAAGGGGTTGCTATTGTCATGATACCCGACGGCGCGAGATTCCATCTTTACGCGAGGGCATGTCAATACCCGATTTTGCATACCTTTTCCGCTGCTGGAGAACCTGGGAAAATTCTTTGAAGGTGAAATTCTTTGGGGGGGAGTTTTTTTTACACTGGGGTGGGTTTTCGGGTTTTCAATTTGTTTGCTTCCTTTTCGAGTGTGTGTGCTGGGTTTTTCGATCGTCGGAAAACTTGTAGTTTCCCTCCTGTCGAAGGAGAGGGGGGGTGTAACAGTTTAGTTTATTTATATTCAAATTTCAAAATTACCGCTTGCTACGTTAGGCAGGATATAGGTGAGATGGCGCCACTTGTACGCGTGCTTCTTTCCTCGCGCAGAATCGCGTAATTTTTTCACTTCATTTCCGTTTTAAAGCCAACGAGGTTGTACTTGTAGAGCGTGGCATTGTGAATTCTTCTAAAACCAGTGGGTAATATTTGCCATCATTCACGTAAAATCTCTGGCAATTTTACCTGTTTATTGGCGTTGTCGAGTAGAGTAACTCAGAAGCCGTTTTCTCCGTTGTGAGGCTATATCTGGTGGAAGTTCATCGCCCTACCTACATGTAAGTGAAATGGCGTTGACTTTCTTTTACGTTATGTTATCTAAAATTCTTTCAGATTCACAACCTCTTGGATAATTTCCATATTTCATTGATTTAAGTATTTTTCATTACCCTCCTGACGATTTCAGGTATGTTATTAAAAATCTCGTTAGGGAGTGTTACATCTTCATTACTTTTAGGGGGTCCATGTAGTAGACGAATTCTTGTACCGGTCAATCCATGTAGTAGATGAATTCTTGTACCGGTCAATCCATGTAGTAGATCAATCCTTGTACAGACGAATCCTTGTAGCTATCCGGCGTACCACCGAGTAGATAAGCGCTAACACCTAAACGATACCGGGAGCGACCAGCTGATTGTGGAATTTTCGGAAGATACGATCTTTGACCCAACCTTTTTTATTTGCTTCAATACCGTTAATCTAGTGTAACCTTCCGACGATTTATGATCGGAGCTTTGTATTTTGTTCGCATCAAGTGTTTGAGGTCGTGACTCTCTTCAAGAGCAACGCACCTGTATTTAACGTATGGGTAAACGAGCCGGCTACGAGTAAGCTATTTTTGGCCCTTCCGGCTCATATAATCGTTCCGAGCGTTGTAGCTTGGGGTTTGTTTTTGTGTTACAGAACTGGAACTTCGAAGGAGAGCTCTTTTTCGGAGAAGACAGCGTATGTGTTATTCAAGGTAAGATTTTTAATTTACTTGTACCCAGTGTTGCCTATATGAGTTGTTATTCGGGTTAACTTAATTCAATCTTTGAATCCATTGAAATCTTAACTACATTTTTGCTCGATCATTGTTGTAGGGGGCTGGTAACGTAATTATTAGGGAAGTGTTCATGAATTTATTTGGGGGATTGTTTTTGTCATTTAAAGTATTTGTTATTGTCGTATTGAAGATACATTTTATTTGCCGATCCTGCACCGTTTTGTCAGGATTAATAAATCAGAATTGCTCGTAGTGAATTTATTATTTGGCTCTCTTGTGTTTTCCCAATTTCTATACAGGAGAGGTCAGAATTTGTGCAAAATTGGGTGGCGCTCAACTAATCATTTCTAGTAACTACCAAAGATCAAAAACTTATGTTATATGCCCAAACGAACAAACCGCTGTGGAAGATTCTCATCTCGAGCCCTTCTTTTAATTAAGAATCTGAGCTAGCTGGCCGTTTATGCGGCGGGGTTTGAGTTTTACAGCGCCGAACTAACCTCACGTTATACACGAACAGCGGCTAATGGCGAACATCCATTTGTATCTTGCAGTGCCAACTATTGGCATTTACATACAGTTAAATATAAAAGAAAATGCTATGACAAGTTGGTCGGTACAGCGCAAAGGAACCTAGCTTCCCGTTTATGAGAGTTATGGCGATTTGTGAATTTGTATGTGCTTTGTTATTAAAACGTTTTATGCAAAATTAAGGTAAGTTAGCTTTGTATTTTGGAATTTTAAAATTCTTTATGGATAGTTATAATCTCTAAGCTAATGGTTATCAGCAGGGACGATAGCTTTATCATAGGTTTGTGTTTTTTATTTTTGTAACCTGAAATAATTTTGAAGGTCGTTTCGGGGAATCACGGACACTGTGTTCGGCATTACCAGACATGCGACTAAGCGCCGGAAACAAAAGTCTGAGATTCTTACATCTACACCTTTTAAGGCTACGTTAGAAGAGAAACAAAGAAAAAGAGAAGCGAAAGAAGCAACCTTGGAAAGAAGAGCCACAAAAAAACAGAAACCGAAAAAAAATCGCACGTTAGAAAAGTTTTCGATTCGTCTAGTGAAGATGAAATAGATGAGAGTAAATTGTGCGACGACGATGAACTCGACGATATGGATCCCCAAAATATGATGGACTTTGAAGGAAACGAAGGAGAATCCTGCTTAGTATGTGGGGAATATGGAAAAGACGAAATTTGGTATCGTTGTGTTTCCTGTGGAGGTTGGGTACACAAAATGTGCAGTGGAAAAGATAGCGCTGTAAACTATATCTGCGATGTTACTTGCAGTTAATAAAAAAACTTAGTTGTCCAATTTTGTGTCTTTTTTGTTTTGTTCGGTATTACCCACCTGTTGTACATCATTACCCGAAACCTTCGGGCCATGCCGAACATGCGCACTTTTTTTAAAAAAAATATTGTGTCATTTTACAATTTAATTTTCGCATTTTTTGGTATTACAATTGATTTGTTAGGGTTTCCAGTATCTGTTCTCCTAATTGGTAGTTAGGTAATGGCTACACTTATAGAGTTACTGATTTTTTTTCTTAAGTGTTCGCAATTACCCTTCGCTCCCCTATCTATAGTGTAAATGTAACAATAAAGTATCGGAACCCAAGGACCAAGGTGGTGGAAGGAGGGACGCACAAATTACTAGTCTGGGGCCTAATGTTCAGATAATCTTCTGCAATTAATTGTTAGTATAATATACAATGTTGTGCAAAAGAAATATTATTATTTCTTAAACCGGCGCTATTACCGCAAATCCATGCATTTTAATTTGTAGACGAGTGTTTTGACTGAATAGAATACCTATCGGTATTTGACGTCACTTATGTAAGGTAAGGGTAAACAAATTGAGCACTTAGTTAGGATAAATAATATTTATGGTAATAATACAATTTCATGATTAATTTTACCAATTAAATAAACCAATAACGCAGATATTTTTATATTGCTGAACATTCACATTATCATCTTTTCACCTAAACATTTTATTAGTCACGACTCACGACCACGTGGGTGATATTAAAAGTAAAGAAGTTTTCTCTCCGCTTAATCAAATTAAAAATGCAACTTTTCCGGCCGATAATAATTTTTTTACGCAAACTTTCACTTATCCCGAACCACCCTTGGGATTCGAAACTACCGTTCGGGTATACAATAACTAATTCAAAATGTCTCACACTGAAAAATGTAAATTCCCTTTTAATTGAAACCCTGCGATCTCTCCCGATGGCTTAGAGATCTCATCTATCTCTTAATTCTACCTGAATGATCTCTTTTTTTACTTTTACTTTTCTTTACCTCGATATTTTAAATTGCAAACTACCTTTTGTTATGAAATCTCAAAAAATAATAATTTTAGTAATTATTGTGGGTGGCACTCCCTAGGTTACTAGGTACAGACGTTTTCAGATCGCATCAACAGCCGCCTGTGTGACTTAACGACAATCGTGGTATGAAATGGGTACGTACGTACCCCCATTCTTGTAGCCAAATGAATTTCTGGACCGAGCGAAGAGGGATTAATAATGGGTGCCCATTATGTATGGAATACCTATAGTATATATCTCGGTAATATCGAATGTATACAACATTTTTCTATATGACCACCAGCCACTTTAGTAAACAATCAGCAAATTATAAAGTTCGAAAGAGTTTCTAGTCAAAAACAGCCTTTATTCATTTCAGGAATTTGTTACGGCGTGCTCTCAACTGTGATATTTGATTTTTATATGTGATATTTGTATCTTGTTTTTTGTTTTTTTAATCTAAATTCTAGTCCAAATATTATTTATATCATATATGTATACATAATGTTTGTGATTCAAATGACGATGTCAATATTTCTTTTGAAATAATCGACAATAAATATTTTGAAATTTTTTTTGACAGTTGTTTAACATTTATTTCCCATAATGAGGTATGTATCATTTAGTTGTTTTTATTTCAGAAAACAAATGAGTAACGAAAAACAATTGAATTTTTTTTAATGGCAGTGCACATTTTCATTAGGCTCATTTGATAGTGACTTTTTTTTTTCGATGATATAACATGTTGGGTGCCCATTATCCTCGCCATTATCAAAATAAATTATTATAGTTATAACAATAACATTAATCCAGATATCCTACATCTAAATAAAACAAGTGAACGTGTACGTTTCTTATTAAACTTTGAAGACAAAAAGAAATTAACCGTAAAATGGTTTTCAGCGCAATGTAATGTTCAAAATGTTCACCATTAACTAACTGCAAGGCAGTGGCACAACGTATCATAAAAAGCTTCAAATAAAAATTCATTTCTCCTACGCGGGTGGTAACTGGTAACGTGTTACGTAATTGAAAAAAGAACAAAAATCTCTATCAAATGAGGGTAATGAATGTGTACATTGCTATTTAAAAATATTCAATTGTTTTTCGTTATTCATTTGTTATCTGAAATAAAAACAATGGAATGCTGCCTTCTGGACATAATGGGCACCCTGTATATGTTTTACTTCCAAGGCAATTTTGTTGGTCCACATTGCGTCGGGTTTGCGATAGAAGGTTAGATACTTACAAATTTGTGGATATCTTGTAGGCAAAATTCTATAGGGATGTAATTTCACTTCGTCATAATTTGCAGTCAACCAAAAAATTAAGCAACAAAGTAACAAAGTACTCATCCTACCGGAACCCACTGTCTTCCGAAAACAGATTCATTTAGTAGGTATAATTTCATCTTATTTGAATTAGACAAGAGGAATACTAACATCAAATTTGTATATTATACGAGATTTATTTATAATTATTGAAACCGTCTTCAACGCAATCCGTAAAAAAAATTCTTTTAAGTATACGGCCAAAAACAATTCCCTCCCTAGTGACTGTACATACCTGCACATCAACTGAAAAAGTGAAGGTCATTACGTCTACTTAGTTATGTATGTATCAGATTATAATTTTATAGCGGTAATGATCCAAACGCCATACATTTAAATTTTTGGCAGTTTAAATATATATAATCTAAATAAAAATCTAAAAACACCGCAAGAGGTCTAAATCACATAATTTTCAAAAAATTGTAATTTGCATTTTAATTCCTATAGAAGGCAAATGCAAATTTTGTTTTATAACAAGTGTTTATAAATGTAACGCCCATTCCTTTGCGAACTTGCGGGTTTTTGTTTTCACGTTTTGAAGGACGTCTTGGACACGATAGAGTAACTACCATTATGTGACAAAATTAAAATAATACTAAAAGCCTGCACGAAAATGTTAACTTGTCGTGATTTATATGCCCTTATTACAATATGTTAAGTATTTGAGTAAGTCCTGGAAAGGACCTATTGGATTTTATCGTGCAGCAAATTCAATATGGCTACCTTATTCATCATAACAGCACGGTCATGGCTGCAGTAAGATTATCTTTGAATTTGAATAAGCGTTAGATAAGGACAATTTACATAATAATATAAATCGGGGTTAATATCGTGTGCGTGCTCTTAGGCCACCAAGGTAGTAACCCGCGAGCCAGAGCACCACCGATAAGCTTATTCCATACAATTTGCATACTTATTCGCTTTAAGTTTAGTTGTGCCTTTAAACAATGCCATAATGAATTTTCACAATAGTTAACTGCTTACTATAAATATCTGTGTTCTGCCGCCTCATTTACCTTATTATATGTCCACTTATAGGTATATTTACACGCAATTCCTTTTGCACTTCCTGTAGACTAAGGGCGATCGCCAATTGACTCAATAAACAGTAACGTATCGATAAAGATTTCAGAAAATTGTGAAAAGGAATTGATTTTATTCCTACTGTAATGAAAGGTCTCAACAAAAGAAAGTTCTGCACAATTTATATTTGTTTTTAAGGCGCCAGAGTTTTATTTCATACACAATACGATTTACAACAATAACAACTCAAAATTTTAAGTGAGGCAATTCCGTTACCCCGCTTGAGCACCCACGGAAAATTTCATGTCTTGGTCACGAGATGGTTAAAATAACTTCATAAAATTCGGAACAAATTGTATACCTTGATAACTATTGAACTTAAAACCGTTAAAAACATGAGTTTGATTTCAAATTTTGCGAGTTAATAATCGGGATTTCTCTATAATTAAGGAATTAACAAGATGATTTGAACTCCAACAAACTGTATTAACATCTGTCTTTCTGCCCCATTGTAAATTCGAGGGATCATCCTCCAGACTATGGGGGAGGGGGACGCTACTCTCCGCATGTCGAAAGCACGTTTGAGCTGTTTTCGTGCAAATGTAAAGGCGTATGTATTCCTTGGCCCCAAAAACGCCGGTCCAGACCATATCCGGTCACATCTGCGACCCTTCCATTGTGTTCCTTGATCCCATAAACCTCCGCCTATCAGAATCTTAGAAATTCATTTTGAAAAAAAGTCGAAACATCGGAATTTTAGCACCATTTTGGCCCAAATATGAGTAGGTAACCGCGGTTTTTCAATTCCGGCCCTTAATTTGTGTTCCTTGACCCCAAAAACATGGGGACCTTCGAATTGTAGAAATTAGGCATTTTAGACGGAGAATATGTACACCAGGGGAGTCCAAAAACCGCCATATTGGACGCCATCTTGAATATATCCTTTCTGGCTCATTTTCAGACGCGGCAACAGGCATAATCGGATTCAGTGGAGTCCAAATAGGGGAAAACCACTTGTAACTCATTTTCTACACGAAATGCTTCTAGCATTTGAATTTTCTTAAAAGTAGCCTTGGCTAAATATAAGGATTTAGGTAAGATAGGCCGCATTAATTTTAGTACTCATATACTCATGTTAGAAGGGCGAGAGGGAAGGAAATACATAAGATTGACAAATATAGGTAAAGCACCACAAATTTACATGACATCTATTGTTTTTAGGAGTTATACGTTTCGAGTTGCTTTATTTATTTTTTGAAAAAAATAATCTCAAAAAAAATTTAAAAAGCAATTTTATTAG